AGCTACTATTGTTTTGATGACTTGCTTTTGATTCTATTGGTGAAGGATGGATTCCTACCCAAGGTCATGCCCAAACACACCACCCCCAACACTAGACAAATGAGGTTCACTGCAGTGATTGGCCACACTCACAATCTGGGGGAAATGTCAGCATGTCATGCAGGGTCATATGAGAATGCACTCAAAAATGGGGTGACCATGGAATTAAGACTGTTGAAATGAAAGGGTAAGGTGAGCCTTGATTCCCAGCAGTGGAAGTGATTTCTTCTTGGAACAACTGAGGGTCAGCAGGGAACTGAAATCTGCCACTCAAGGATGCATAGTCACTGTGCCTGCCACCCTTCATAAGAGGGTTGTTTGGCCAGAGGACCTTATCCACAGAAGCTAAGGGCCAATGGCTAGGGGAATTTGCAAATCAACCACACGAGGGCCTCCCTTATCTCCCCAAAACTTAAGATGCCAGTAATGTTGGGCCTTTAGGCCCCATACATTGAGAGTTGTCCAGTCACCAGATGTGATGATGAAAAGCCTTGGTAGCCAGGGATTGGGCAATTGAAACAGATGCTTCCTTGGTTGCTTCTGTACCTTTTCTATTAAGTAGTAAACTCCACATGGATAAGGCCTTGGCTCTCACATTTTCCACAGTCTCCCTAGCACTCCGCAGAGCATGGTATAAATATCTAACATTTCATCTGCTCCCTAAAATCCACTGCACATAAAACATTCTTTGAACCTGTGATTCTAGGGCATTAGTTCAGCTTCAGGTTGTCAGAGGAAAAACATGGTTTTACCTTCTCATCTTCCATTTTGCAATACACTGTAGTCCTATTCTACTTCCTACAGCTCTCATTAGAACAAACAAGTTTCAATTTCTTAATATTGCTCTATGTGTACTTAGTGAGGGTGTGTGGGCTACAGAAGTAGAGCCCTGGCAGAAGTCCAGAACAAAAAGAGCCAACCTCTAGCCAGTTTCCAAGTGAGAGTGACAGCCATGGGCAACAGGCCCTGCCATGAGTGCTCTCCTCCCGTGCTCACTGCAAATGTCAGAAGCAGTGCACTCGATTGTGTTGCTCTCTTCAAGATGTATAATTCTGGAAAATGAGTCACTTTCTGCCTCCCCTTTACTCCTTCTTTTCGAAAGTCAAAGCCCACTCTCAAATAATGTTTCTTAAATGTTGACTCACATACAAAATTTACTGAGAGACAATTGTTTAAGATCAATTTAGCAATACCTGCCCAAAGAAGAAATAAAATAATGAGCGCCAGTGCCCAGATGGCTTTTTTGATTATGAAGTGGATTAAATCATGTCTGAAGTCCATAAGCTTCCTTTTTATATACTGAAACATTTAATTATTTTGGCTACTTACAATTTCAATCAGTAAAGTAGGCATGGCACAGTAACTATTTGAAGGTGATTTTAGTGAGACAAAAACTATCTAGAATTAACTGAGATTAGAAAAAAAATTCATCCTTCACAATTTTCTCCCTAAATCACTTAGGAAAAAGAATTCAGAAAACTTGCATCTGAATTTGAATGCTCTGCTCAGTAAGGTAGTTGAGTTTGGAGATCACAAAATCTATTTCCTCATCAATGTAAAACAAGGATATTTGTCTTACTATTAATTCTGAAAAATAAAGGAAACAGTACCCAAGGAAACAGTTTGAAAAGTACAGAATGTGATGGACAAATGTATGATACTATTAGAGCAAAAATTCTTTAATATTTTTATTCCATATTTTTCCCCTGGATTATCCATTTATTTTTCTATCAGTAGCAGAATTTAAAACTAAAATGTAGCTACTTTCATCATTTATACATGGGCAGCCTAGAATTTAATGTCAAGCTCCAAGCCCAAACTCCAAATGCAAATCTCTTACGGACGAATGAAGACACTGGCATGTAGAAAAATGGCTTGGATTGGACTCTGTAGGAGATAATAAAGGTTAAATGCAGCCATCAAGGTTGGGCCTTGATTTCACAGGGCTAGGGTACTACTTATAAGAGTACAAGACTAGAGCTCTCTTCCTCCATTGTGTGATGACACAGTAGAAAGCGGCCATCGACAAGCCAGAGGGGACCCCTCAGAATGCACCATACCTCACTGCTACCTGATCTTAGACTTGTTGGCCTCCAAGAATAAGGAATAAATTTCTGCTGTGTAAACTATCCAGTCTGTATTACTCTGTTACAGCAGCATGAGCAGATTCTGATGATCAATGCTTGTTTAGTTGTGGATGCATTCGAACCTCCCTCTCCTTGCCTAGCATTGCAGGTCTGTGTCCTCAGCTCTCTAATATTTTGACCTTCTGCCAGTTCTTTGGCCATGGGTCTAATTACTGTCAAGTGGCCCCAGTACCATCCAGGTGCTCAGACTCTTCGGGTAATACTATCTCCTCCACTTTTCCTTTCTTTCCTACTACTGCTATTTTGGGGCTGCCTTACTTTCTTTTATTTGCTCTTTCAGCCCTTCTAATGTCTTCATTTCTTGAGATTAATTCCTTACTTGTCTTAGCTTTCTTTGCTACCTGTCTTAGCTATTTTTCTCTCATTGCTGAGACAAAACACCCGACACCCAAAGTTAAAGGGGAAAAAGTTTACTTAGCTCACAGTTTATAGAGGTTTCAGTCCATAATTGTCTGGCTCCAAGGCAGGGCGGCACATGGCAGGGGGCCGTCACAGAGGAGAAACAGTTCATGAAGCCCACATGGTAGCAAAAGCAACAAGGAAACTTAACAGCAGCTTTCTGCCCCTTTTACCTTATCCAGAGTACAGGGATTAAGGCAGTGCCAAACCAATCAGTGGACTGATTTAGTAATCACCACCCTTAATCCCAGCAACACACACTCTAGAGTCAGCCACCTCGGGAAAAGCCCCATTTATAAGCACATGAAGCTTTGGGGGACTTCTAGGCACACCCCTAACACTACCTATCCCCTGACTAAACACATTGACCACTAAATAAACCAAGAATAATTACGTTTTTCAGGAGGGGAAAATGATATGCTTTTTTCTACATATAAATGCCTAGGAACAAAATATTTATGAGATCACTTTCTGTAATAGGAGAAAATTGAAAACAATTAAGATACCCACCCCAAAATGATTTATTAAATTACAGTATGAAACAGTACTATAAACCAATTAAAAAGAATGAATGTGACTACATACAAGATGAAAACATTGATGATAGTAGACAGTTTGTGCATGATTATAATCATTTCCTCAAAAAAACCCTCTCAAATGATAGCGATGGAATATGAGAATGCATAATTTATAACAAAATTATATATTTATAATGTATGAAGAGCTTCTAAGACTTGAGAAGAAAATTATCAACACACTGGTAGGAAATAGGGAAAAGATTTAATTCACAATTCAGAGAATTCAATTGCTCATTGAACATATGAAAAATACAGTCTTATTCATAATACAAAATGTAGAAGGTGCCTAAGACTTGTGCATTAAAGATTCAAATCCATGTTGTTGGAAAATGTGGGACTGCTTGGGTGGTACCACTTCCCCCACTGTCCACCTGTAAATCCCTCCCACCTACAGGTGTAGTGACTGAATGGGTCCCCAGCAACCAATTAGGAACTCAAACTTTAAATAAGTATCTAATCCTTGGAATATTTTTGAAATGGAGAAGTTTTACTGCCTTAGGACAATTTTAAATTGATCCGAGTCTATTCTACAACTATTCCACTAAGAAACTACCTTGGGAACAATGCTTCACAGAAAAATCACTGTGAAGTTTATGCATTGGCAAATTTTGGAGGAAAACTTGCCAGTTTTGTTCTTCATATTAATGATAGAAGCTGATAAATTGCATATTCATTTTTAATTTTTTTTCAAAGATCTATCAATAATACAGTTAAATCACAAGGAATTTAGTAGGGGATTATGGACTCAATGATATGAAATGTTCACATTCGAACCCAATGTGCTTGAGATTAATTATTAAGATATAAAAACTCCAAGCTTTGATCTACACAATTTCAGCCAAAACATAAATCATAGGGCTATCATAACTGCAAGAAGAAACAGTATGAAAACACTCAACAGTATTTTTCACTGTATAAATTTTATTGCAACGTGGATTTGGGGGATATAGTTTTGTTTTTTTAAAGGGGAAATCATTTTTCCTGATTAAAACTATTCCTGTCGGCATTATTACCAAGGCATTTCAGTACTATTTATTGTGGTGATTCATAGTCATTTTTAAATCACAGATTCCTTTGAAAAAAAGATGAAATCTCTGAATCCAATTTTTCTAGAAATCCATAGCCACGAAAAGATTGTGCATAAAACTGCACATGCTTCATAGACTTCAGGCTAGTAACTGTTTAAGCAGTATATAGAAGCTATTCATATCTTTTTAAATACTTATATGTACATACATGTATCTGCATGCATGTATATGTATACACACAAAGGGAGTCAAAGATCCACAGAAATTTGGGCATAAGACTACACTGTGGTAAAAAAAAATCGCATTCGTATACTATGATTTATTATAAAATCAAACTAGTGGGGCCAAGGATTTAGCTCAGTGGTTCCACCACCTGCCTCGCAAGTGGAAGATCCCAAGTTGGATCCCTGGTACCAAAAAAAAAAAAAGTTTGAGATGCCAACTTTGTGGGCCGGGGATTTAGCTCAGTGGTTTGGCCGCCTGCTGCGCAAGTGCAAGGACCCGAGTTCAATCCCCAGTACCAAAAAAAAAAAAAATCAAACTAGTAAACCCTTATTATATAACTAGTGGGATTTTACTGAACTCTGGTGAATAATGTAATAAAATCACCAAACAAATGTTAATAAGGCAAAAATTCAAAATATGTATCAGGATTTGAGGAAACATTTTAATTTAACATAATACAAAAAATAAGTACAAAGCATAGAACACTTTTTTCAAAAAAGTCAGTTCACCGATTTTAGCAACAGTGATCTCAAGGAAGTAACTGGTTTCTAACACTTTCCTTGACACTGACGTTTGAGCCTATCTAACAAGGGGCAAGGAACCATTTTTTCATTCCATTCTTTCTCTCTGTCAAAAACATCTGCTTATCTTCCATGAAAACATGGACTACCTCAGGCTCAAAAGCATGTTGGAAAACTGTGCCTGGACTTTAAAGGCGAGTGCTCCTGCAGGGGACAGTAGCGAGAATGGAAAGGCTATGACAAAGCATGGCGCATGTGGGCACAAACAGTGCTTCTTCAAGGGGCTGCTTTACTCTGATTCATCTTTCCATCTTTCCCCATGACAACCCCATAGTGAGTCATTCAGCAAGGAGGCTGTTTGAAAACACACGGGCACACTTACACGTGGTGCACACAAACACACACACACACACACACACACATACACATACACACACAGAGTAAGGTTCCAGAACTTCAGTCTTGCATATCATGAATACCTCCATATAATGGTCTACAAGGCTCTTACCGCAAAGAGTAAGCAGCAGCTGCTCTCAATTTTTGCAGGGAAATTAAATTCTTCTCATTTTTCTTTTCTTCCCCTGCAGGTTAGAAGCAAACACCTGCCACCTGGACTCTCTGGTCTTCAGCTTCTGTTTGAATGCTAAAACAAACCTGATGGGCTAGGTGATAAAAAGTGCACTTCTAAGGCCAGATTAAAAATAAAAGCAGGGTTTGCCTTACTCATATTACTGAAGAAAAGCCTTAGCCAGGTTACAGCTTTAGTATTTAAGTACCAGATTGTGACTCAGTCAAAATCATTGAGGAGAGCCAACTAAATTACCTAATCCTGCATGCATATCTCATTCCCTTGAGTTCCATCAGCTGTCATATTTCCACATTGGAAAGGCGCTCTGTAACATTTAAGTATTGGTATGTGTGTGATTTCCTGAAGCAGATTATATGACACCTTTATGGTCAGAAACTGCACAAGTATTTCTTTTATACCTGGAATATAGTAGGTCCTCAGTAATATATTGATGCTTTTGTTGACATAGAAGTCAAATCTGTGATGTGTATTTAAACAAGGTTACAAATAGCTCATAAACCCTGGACTGTTTAATTTATCAAGGAGCTTGTGCAGAATTAAAAGAATACAATTGTCCCCGCAGACGCCAGCAGCCCCGCCGGACCCCACCACAAGGGCCGTGCTGTATCTGAATCATCACAGCAGAGGCACCAGGGGGAACATAAAGGCCATGGCTGTAAGCCCCAGAAGACAGAGCAGAAGTGAACAACAGAGAGGGCCTCTCTAAGGCTCCTCAATGAAAATTGAAGCCCACTGGAAAAGTGAAGAAAAACTTCAATAAAAGCACATTGGACCATCGTGGTTGGTAAATTGGTGGGATCAGCAGCTCCCATAGAAACCTGGACTCCAATAGTGGGGAGGACAGCCTGAATCTGCAGTAGAACCTTGCAGAGTTTAATCCTGCAGGAGGTCAGGGAACTCAACTTAGACCTTGCAGCCAGAAATCAGCCTGAATCTCAGTAGACTACAGCTGGCTTGCTGAGACTAATTGAGTTGGACCAGCAACTGCTGCCCACATTGTTTACCAGGATATTAGGGACATGTCCTGAGGGAGAACTTTTTGTTGTTGTTTTGTTTTTATATAATTTTTTTCTATTTTTCCTCTCTCTCTCTCTCTCTCTCTCTCTCTCTCTCTCTCTCTCTCTCTCTCCTATTTTCTCCTCTGTTAGCCCTCTA